CTAGTTTTTTAACTAGGATGGGATGAGAGACGGTGTCAAAGTCTTAACTATTTTCTTTTAAAAAGGGATGGGATAAACTGTTTTGTGAGAAGAGAAATTGTTGAGGACCAGCCCCAGCTTCAGGCTATGACTGGCTATGGAATCAAAGAAGCCAGAAGGCTTAAAGTAACATATAAGAAATCAGCTAGACCATCTACCCTATACAGATCCAGGAGCCAGTTTAACTAGACCAATGGTTTTTAAACTTTTTAAAGTCATAAAACCCTTTCATATCATTACTTCTGCTGCAGAATCCTTGCCGCTACCTAAAGAGAGGTTGCAGAGCCAGGTGAGCAAGCCTGGCAGTGGTGGCATACTACCTCCCAGCCTGTTCAGCCATTACCCAGAACCCCCAAACTCTGAAACTAGTTGGAAAACACTCAACTAGACCATACCTTAATGGAAGCTTTTTTTTTTTTTTAATGTAGTCTCAAAAACATCCCAAGTAGCCTATTCCAGTACTTCACTGCTTTTATTCCAAAGAGACTTTTTCCTAATATCTAGCACTTTTTTTCTTTTCTGCAAATTAAGACTGTTTTGTGTTTGTTGTTGTGGTGTTTTGTTTTTCTTGTCCTGCCTGCAGTGGACACAGGGAACATTTAAGCACCCATCTTTTCCAAAAGAACCTTTAATGCTGTGCAGTGCTTGTTTATTAGGTTCCTTCCCCTTGCCGTCTCTTTCTAGAGAATACAGATCTGGTTTCCATAGCCTTTCCTCACAGGTCCTGTTGTCCAAACCTTTCATCTTCCTCACTGCTCTCTTCAGGATACACTGCAGCTTGACTATCTTTCTTTGTGTGTTGACCAAAACTGGAGACACTGTTCTGTCGGAGGCCTCCCCAGTGCTAACCAGAGCAAAATAATTGCTTTCTATGTCTGATGTCTCACTCCCTTTAATATATCTCAGTATGACTTTTTACCTTCTTTTAATGGCACTGGATGGTTTATTCCTATTTAGTTTGTGCCTCGCTTTAATCACTAGCTCCTTTTTTCCCGCCTAGCCAATTATTCAGCATTTTTAACTGCATTTGGTTTCTCCTTCCTAAGCGAAGGACTACCTATTTCTTTTCACTGCATTTCATCTTGTTGATTTTGGACTACTTTCTCCAATTTTTCAAGATTGTTTTGATGTCTGATCCTGCCATGCAGAGTGGTTGTATTCCCTACTAATTTGTTCCAAAATTTGTGTACCCTTGCCCGTTGTCCAAATAGCTAATGAAAATATTGCCTAAAATCAAAACTAGGTCAGAGCCATATAAAAGGTTGTGAGGAAAATGCCATCACATTTGACAGCAATGCAAAAGCTACACTTTGACTGCAGGTTGTGATGAGTGCATTAAGGCCATGATTACATAGGAGAATATAATTTAAGATGGTTTCAAAAGATTTAGTAAAGGTATGCTTCCCTGTTATCTTGTCAGCTATTTTATGAGAAAAGAAAATTAGACTTTTTAAAATATGATTTGTTCTTGATA